TTAGATTGTACTGCTTAAGTCTCATCTACACTACATTTTAATTTTTTTTTAATTTTTTATTGGATTAAGTGATTGCATAAATTTCACAAATTTCACAGTATTCTGAGATAGTGGTACTTAGTTAAAGTCACAAACACAAAACCTTTACAAGGCAAATTGTCATTATCATGGTCTTTAATTTTTGTGAATTCTATGAGCTTTGACAATACTACTATTTCTTCTATATGGGGTGATATGTAATGTACATTTCTTTCCTTTTGCTTAGTATAAGCTGTTCCCTCTCATTTCTTCCCTCCCTTAATTTTTTTTTATTTTTTTTCCTTTTTTATTGTTTTAAAGGTGATTTACATATGGTTTACAATTATATGTCAGGTAAAGAATACATTTCTTTTTGGACAGTGTGTTTTGTTTTGTTAATTTTTATTTTTCATACCAGTGCTTCACACATGCTAGGCTCTACAACTTACATACCCCCAGCCTTTTTTGCTTTGATTTTTCATGTGGGCTCTCATACTTTCCCAGACTCGTATCTAATCCTAATGTTCCTATCTCTGCCTCTTGTATAGATGGGATTGCAGGTGGCTTATTTTTTGTTTTGTTTGTATGTTTGTTGATGGTTCTGAGGTTAGGAATTCTACCATACTCCCAACCCTTTCAGCCTTTTTTTTTTTTCCCTAGTAGAGTTTGTTTGTTTGTGTCGGCTGTGGGACTTGAACTCTGAGCCTAGGCACTGTCTCAGCTCTTCAGCTCAAGGCAAGTGCTCTACTAACTTGAGCCACAGTGCCACTTCCAGTTTTCTGGTGGTTTATTAGAGATAAGAGTCTCATGGATATTCCTTCCCAGCTGGCATTGAATCGTAATCCTGAGATCTCAGCCTCCTGAGTAGCTGGGATTACAGGTGTGAGCCACGGGTACCCTGTTAGAGTTGAGTTTTTGCCTGGGACTTGCCTCAGCCTGAAATCCTCCTACTTATGGACCCCAGAATAGCTAGGATCACTGGCTCATATCACCACACCTGGATTATATATTAATATGGGATCATCATTTCTTCTTGCCTGAATTTCCTCAAACCCAGATCTTCCTGCTCTTAGGAGACATCTCCTGAGTAGCCGAGATTGGTTTTGGATATAAGGTCTAGCTATCTGTTGTTGCCTAGATTTGCTTTAAATCACTATTGTTCTATCTCCTTGCATTTTTCTGCTTTTGTTTTGTTTTTTTGGTGGAATAATATCTGAGGACCTCATACTAGCCAGCTTGCTCATCTGGTGTTCTTCTCTAGCTCACCTTTTTGCTGTTTTTTTTTTTTTTTTCGGGGGAAGGGGGTGTTTTGTTGGTTTGTTGGGTTTTTTGCCAAGCCTGGGGCTTGAACTTTTACGCCTGGGTGCTATCGCTGAACTTCTTTTTGCTCAAAGCAAGTGATCTACTGCTTGAGCCACAGCGCCACTTCCAGCTTATTTGAGTAGTTTGTTCCTACCCTGGCTGGCTTCAAACCACGATCCTCAAATCTTAGTATCCTGAGTAGCTAGGGTTATAGGCATAAGCTGCCAATACCCAGCTTGCTGGTTATTTTGAAGATGAAGTCTCTGGTATTTTTTTGCCCAGGCTGATTTTAAACCACATCTTCTGGATCTCAGGCTTTTAGAGTAGGATTATAGATGTGTGAGCCAACAGGGCTTCTTTCTTTTTCTTTTTTCTCTCCCTCTCTCTCTTTGTTTTAATTACATGGTCTTAGAGTTGACCAGCAGTTGCTACACTTGTAATACTTCTGCCTCAGTCTTCCAAGTGACAGATTATAGGTATTATGCGACTACCATAAATTAAACAGAGGGTACAGCACAGAGAATAGAGTTAAGGACCTAACAGGCCCTAGATTCAATATCAGTACCATAAAGAGAGATGTGGGTTTTAACAGCACAAACAGTTTTGGGGTTTTTGTTGTTGTTTTGTTTTTTTGCTTGTCATGGGGCTTGAACTCAGGGTCTGGTTACTATCTCTGAGCTTCTTTTGGCTGAAAGCTAGTGCTTTACCACTTAAGCCACAGCACCACTTCAGGCTTTTTTCTGTTTATGTGGTACTAAGGAATTGAACCCAGGGCTTCATACATGCTAAGTAAGCACTCTACCACTGAGCCACATTCCCAGCCCCAGCACATACAATTTTTAAAGTGGTACATTGCCTACACTTAAATTTGGAGTTAGTCGTTTAGTAGTCTGCACCCTCAGCCAAGACAATGTAGAGCAAGGATAAGCACTTTTTGATCTTGGCTTGGAACTAGAACCATTTAGAAAGCTTTCAAAAAATGCTGCTGCTATGTCTCATCCCAGACCTGTCAGAGTCCCTGGGAAGGATAGGCAAGTGTCAGTTTTTAAAGCTCAGGTCAACATTTGATTCTGATGTACATTCAAGTCTTACTTCTGCTCTACTTACATATTTGAGAAGGTGGCTCAGGGGTAGATTGCTTGCCTTGCATGCATGAGGCCTGGGTTCAATTCCTCAGCACCACATATGCAGAAAATGCCAGCAGTGGCGCTGTGGCTCAAGTGGTAGAGCGTTAGCCTCATGCTGAAGAGCTCAGGGACAGCGCCTAGGCCCAGAGTTCTGGCCCCGTGACTGACAATAAATAAATAAATAAATTTGAGAAGGCTTTGAGGAGTGATTTTTATACTGATTGATGCCAGTGGAGTTTATGAAGGTAAAAACCAACAATACCATGTTGTAGCTAAGTGGACTTGAAATTTGAGGATTCTTCCAGGTGCCAGTGGCTCATGCCTATAATCCTAGCTACTCAGAAGCTAAGATCTGAGTATCACAGCTTGACGATAGCCTGGGCAGAGAAGTCCCTGTGAGATCATTATCTCTAATTAACCACTCAAAAACTCGAAGTGGCACTGTGGTTCAAGTTATAGAGTGCTAGCCTTGAGAACAAAGAGGCTCAGGGAGAGAATCCATGCCCAGTTCAAGCCCCATGACTGGCAAAAAGGAAAAAGAAATTTGAAGATTGCTGCTGTGGGATAAAAGATTTATTGTTTGTAGCTTTTTTTTTTACTTTTTTCTTTTGTCAGTCCTGGCGTTTGAAGTCAACGCCTGGGCACTGTCCTTGAGCTCTTTTGCCACAATGCCACTTCTGGTTTTCTGGTCTCATGGACTTACCAGCCTGGGCTGGCTTTGAAATGCAGTTCTTAGATCTCAGCCTCCTGAGTAGCTAGAGTTTCAGATATGAGCCACCAGCACCTGGCTAGTTTTATAGTACCACTAACATTGAAAACCATGAATCAGAAATTTCAAATTACATTTCAAAATTTTTTTATGACATTAAGAAGTCATAGTCATTGCTGGGCGCCAGTGGCTCATGCCGTAATCCTAGCTACTCAGGAGGCTGAGATCTGAGGATCATGGTTCAAAGCCAGCCCAGACCTTTTTTTTTTTTTTTTGGTCAGTCATGGGGCCTGAACTCTGGGTCTGGGCACCATCCTCAACTCTTCAGCTCAAGCTAACGCTCTACCACTTGAGCTGCAGCGCCACTTCCAGCTTTTTTTTTTTTTCCTGCTTATGTGGTACTGAGGAATTGAACCCAGGGCCTCATGCATGTGAGGCAAGCACTCTACCACTGAGCCACCTTCCCAAGCCCCCCTCTCCCCCCCTCCCCCGTGAATAAACCACTGAGAAAACCCTAAGTGGCGCTATGGTTCAAGTGGTAGAGTGCTCACCTTGAGCTGAAGAGCTGTGGGACAGCATTCAAGCCCCACAACCAACAACAACAACAACAAAAAAGTCATAGTCATTAAGGAAAATGCACTATATCGGTATCAAAAGTACTATATGGATTTATTAAAATATATGGCCTTTATAAATGCTCACATTTAGAATCATAGATAAGAGGTGATAATATACATTGTAGTTTAATTTTTTTCTTCGTTATAGTAAGTTGTTTATATTTTTGTTTTCATGTGTCAGTATCAGGGCTTGAACTCAGGGCTTGGGCAATACCTTACTTAGTTGTTTTGCTCAAGGATGCCACTTGAGCCATATCTCTACTTGTGGCTTTTTGTTGGTTAATTGAAGATCGTCTCAGGAATGTGTTTGCTTGGGCTGATCCTCAGATCTCAGCATCCTTGACCTGCACCTGGCTTTGTTTTAATTGTATGATTGGTTTGGTTTGGTTAATTTTTTTTTCTTTTTGATACCAGTACTGGGACTTAACCTCAGGACTTCTGTGCTCTTATTTAGCTTTTTTTGCTTAAAGCTGGTATTGTACCACTTAAACTACACCTATTTCTGAATTTTTTCCAGGGATTGTCTGCCAGGCTGGCTTCAAATGGTTCCTCAGATCTCAGATGCTTGTGTAATTAGGATTACAGGTGTAACCTACCATCTTTCCAGCTAGAAGTAGGATTATTGCCCAAGTTTCTGTCTTCATTGTAGAGAATGAATATAAAAAGCATCAAATGAACTAAGGAGAGCTGGTTGTTTTTATTTTTGTTTTTTGTCAGTTGGGCTTGAACTCTGGGCCTGGGTGCTGTCCTTCAGCTCTTCAGCTCAAGGCAAGCGCTCTGCCACTTGAACCATAGAGCCACTTCCGGTTTTCTGGTGGTTTATTGGAGGTAATAGTCTCATGGCCTTTCCTGCCTGGGCTGCCTTTTGAACCATGATCCTCAGATCTTAGCCTCCTGAGTAGCTGAGAGTTTTTATAAAAGCATTATAATAATATAAGAAAAATAACATCATTATATGTAAATTACACATGTGTCATATGGACAGATACTAGAAGGATCTCTTTTTAAATAATTTTATTTATTTTTTGTATTGATGTGGTACCAAGAAATTGAACCCAGGGCCTCACGCATGCTAGACAAGCACTCTACCACTAACTAAGCCACATTCCTAGCCTTTAGAAGAATCTTTTTAGTTCTAGCTGGGAGACTAGCTAGAGGAACATGTAAGGCTAAAACCTTGCACTGTTCATCCTTTATTTTGATATGGTTTTCCTGGATATTTTGTAGGTCCTGGAACTGGCAGGAAATGCTTCCAAGGATCTCAAAGTAAAGCGTATCACTCCCCGTCACTTGCAGCTTGCAATCCGTGGTGACGAAGAGCTGGATTCTCTTATCAAGGCTACCATAGCTGGGGGTGGTATGTATTATTAAGCCTAGATGATTAGTAGCTTTTTGTTTTGTTTTGTTTGCTAGTCCTGGGGCTTGAATTCAGGGCCTGGGTGCTGTCACTGAGCCTCTTTGTGCTCAAGGCTAGCTCTCTACCACTGTGAACCACAGTGCTACTTCTGGCTTTTTTTGGAGTTAAGAATCTCAGGGACTTCCATGCTCAGGTTGGCTTCAAACCACAATCTTCAGATCTCAGCCTCCTTAGTAGCTAGCATTACAGGCATAAGCCACCAGCATCCAGCTTGTTTGTCTAAATTAAAAAAAAAAAAAAAAAGCCATGCGCCAGTGGCTCACCCCTATAATCGTAGCTACCAGGAGTCTGAGATTTGAGGATCATGGTTCAAAGCCAGCTCAGGCAGGAAAGTCCGTGAGACGCTTACCTTCAATTAACCACCAGAAAACTGGAAGTGATGCTGTGGCTCAAGTGGTAGAGTGCTTGAAGAGTTGAAGAGCTCAGGGAGAGTGCCCAGGCCCAGAGTTCAAGCCCCACCACCGACTACAAAAAAAAGCTAAGAAAAAAATTATTACCTTTAAGTAGTTATACAAAGGAGTTGCCATTTAATAAATCAGTTTGTGAATCCAATATATCTTTTTTTTTTGTTGTTGTTGGTCGTGGGGCTTGAACTCTGGGCTTGGGCCCTATCCTCAGCTCTTCAACTCAAGGCGAGCACTCTACCACTTGAGCCACAGCGCCACTTCCGGTTTTCTAGTGGTTTATTGGAGATAGGAGTCTCACGGACTTTCCTGCCCTTTCCTGCCTGTGCTAGATTTGAACCGTGATCCTCAGATCTCAGCCTCCTGAGTAGCTAGGATTACAGGCGTAAGCCACCAGCTCCGGCTTTATTCTAAATTTTATATGGAATATTTCAAGCCTGATTTTTGAAGTAATTCTTGCTTATCTTCTAAACTGTTTGAGAAATGATCTTGAGAAATCTAGTCAATAACCCTGGAAGGGCTGAAGGTAGTAGAAGTTGATCAGGATCAATGAAAATTTGGATGTAAATTGAAGGTTTATGAAAGCTATTGCTTAAAATGCATTTAAACTCAACAGTTTCACCTACATTAACTTTTGGGGAAAACCCTTGATGTACTTTCAGGTTTTTGGTGGTGGTGGTAGGCTGGCACTCGACCACTTTGAGCCACAGCATTATTTTCTGTTTTCTAGTGGTTAATTGGTGATGAGTCTCACAGACTTTCCTGCCTGGGCTGGCTTGGAACTGAGATCCTGAAATCTCAGCCTTTCGAGTAGCTAGGATTACAGGAGTGAGCCACCAGCACCCGGCTTGCTTGGTTTGGTTTGGTGCTGGTACTGTGTCTTATACTTGGGGTCTTGTACTCTTGCTTAACTTTTCACTCAATGCTGCTGCTCTACCACTTGAGCCACAGCTCTACTTTCGCTTTTTGCCATTGATTGGAGATAAGTGTCATGGGCTTTCCTGCCTGGGCTTGCTTTGAGCCTCTATCCTCAGAGCTCAGCCTCCTGAGTAGATGGGACTGCAGGTGTGAGCCAATGGTGCCCAGCTTAGATAGAGATAGTTTTAATAGGATCTGAATGTAAAATAGACTTGAGTAAATTTTATTCTTTATATAATTCTCTTTTTTTACTTCAAGAACTAAAGCATTAAGATTGACCAATGGAAAGACTGTTTTAATAACTTTTTTTTAAATTTCGTTCTAGGTGTGATCCCTCACATCCACAAATCTCTAATTGGAAAGAAGGGACAGCAGAAAACTGCTTAGAGTATTGTTTAACCCTTTTCCTTCCCATCACTGTACTGTAACTGGGACAGACGAAAACAATGGAAATGTATGGAATTTTTTTAAATAGTTAAATAGAAAAGCATAGAAAATTACTGAAGGCATGACAGAAAAAACATTTGTACATTTTTAGACTCAACGTTTGATAAAAGAACCTTTTCACATCATGATAGTTGTGTAGATTGGCCAGCTTTCTTCCATGTGTTTTATACCAAAATGGAATTGATAAACGATTTTCTACAAAACTAATTTGTCTCCAAACTGTTCTGTTCATGATATATTAGAAATATTTTGCTCAGACTTGAAATATTTTCTCTCAAGTTAGATCCTCAAAATAATCCTGAAACAGAAATGAGGAAACTAGCTTTAGCATGACTGATATCATGTGAATGTTCAGTCTTTGATGCTATTACTTTGTAGTTACTTAATTGTATATCTCTAATAACTGAACTAATGCCATCAATTAGGAGTTAGCTCTCCATTTAGATTATGGGAAAATGTGCATTTAATACTGAACTGGGGAAATGGAATTACTGGAATCATTTACTGAGCACTTAGCATGTGACAAACCCTGAGCTAAGTACTTTGCTGATCAAGAAATATTATTAATTGGGGCTGGGAAGGTGGCTCAGTGGTAGAGCACTTGCCTTGCATGCTTGAGGCCCTGGGTTCGATTTCTCAGCACCACATAAGCAAAAGAAGAAAAAAGCCGGAAGTGGCGCTGTGGCTCAAGTGGTAGAGTGCTAGCCTTGAGCTGAAGAGCTGAGGGACAGCGCCCAGGCCCAGAGTTCAAGCCCCATGACCAGACCCAAAAAAAAAAAAAAAAGATTGGTGGTGTTTTGTGTGTGTGTGTGTGTGTGTGTTCATGTTCTGATAAGATTGGTGGTGTTGTGTGTGTGTGTTCGTGTTCTGATAAGATTGGTGGTGGGCCCAGTGCTGGTGCCTCATGCCTATAATCCTAGCTACTTGAGACTGAAATCTGAGAAATGTGGTTCAAAGCCAAGCCTGGGCAGGAAAGTCTTGTGAGACTCTTACCTCCAATAACACTACTCAGAAGCAGCTAGTAGTGGCACTGTGGCTTAAGTGGTGAGTGCTAGCCTTGAGCACAGAGGTTTAGGGACAGAACCCAACCCTGAGTTCAAGCCCCTGTACCGGCAAAAAAGAAAAAGATTGATGATGTAGGTCAAAAGGCCAGCCAGCACAAAGAAATGATGAGACCTTCAACCACTAAAAAGCTGGTTGTGCCAGGTGCTGGTGGCTCATGCCTGTAACCCTACTCAGAAGGCTAAGATCTGAGCATCGCAGTTTGAAGCCAGCATAGGCAGGAAAGTCCCCTAAAGACTCTTACCTCTAATTAACCACTGAGAAACTGAGAGTGGAGCTGTGGCTGTAATGGTGGAACACTAGCCTTGAGTACAGAGGCTCAGGGACAGTTCCTGGGCCCTGAATTCAAGCCCTATGACTGACAAAAAGTGAAAGCTGATTGCAAGAAAGCTGATTGCAAGTGCTTTTCATCTTAACTATGAGGGAGAAGCAAATAGGATCCCAGTCTAGGCCCACTGTGGCATAAAATCAAGACAAACCAAAATAACTAAAGCAGAAAAAGGTGGAGGCCTGGCTCAAGTAGTAGAATACCAGCCAAACAAAAGCCTTTTGCTTAAGTACAAACCCCAGTACCACCAAGCAGGAAAAGATTGATAATGGAAGCTGAGCATGCCTGTGCATGCCTGTGATCCCAGCACTTGGAAGGCCAAGGCAGAAGGATCATTTGAGGCTAGCCTGGGCTACATAGTGAAAGCCTGTCTCAGAAAAGGTAATATATGGGTTTTGATTCTGAAAGACCATTGTAAGTGTAAAGTTCTCAGGGTTTTTTCTTTTTTTTTTTTTTTT